CTACCCAACCCAGTAAAAAACAGTCAGTTACAGAAACACGGACAAACACAGCTTTTTATTTTTCGATCTTGGGAGACGGAGGAGCTTCTGCATCAGCAGGAACAATGAAGGACAGCGGACACAGAAAAATGGGAAGACATGGAATAACATCAAGAGGTTAGCCCAGGATAGAGAAAAGTGGAGGGCCTATACCCTGATGCAGGGTGAGAAAGGCAATGATGATGATGATTCCAATATCCTGCCACACAACAACAAGCTGCTCATCAGAGGACTGCATCTCTCAACCAGGCCAATACCATTAAATTGTCTCATTTACAAGAAAACACGATTCTGTTTTACATTCTTATCAACACAATTTAGGTAATCTGTGAAGAAGGTCTGTGTTGACCCTTTGTGTCAATGCCAACCTGGATTGAGTCAAATCCCAGAAGATAGAGATAAAAAAATAAATACATAAATGAATAAATAAATAAATAAATAAATATAAAATTTCTGCACCGAAGATCGAACTCAAACCTTGTGCATGCAACAGTAAATAGGTTAATCCTTACACTACAAGTACCAATCTCGAAAAAAAATGTAAAAAAACAAATTATAGAGTAAGAAAAAAAAATGACCCAACCAAGTTAAGGGTGTTTCACCTTCAGATACTCTCAACACAATAAGAAATTGTAAAAAAAAATGACCTCGCCAAGTATTGGCTTGTTTCACCTTCAGATACCTTCTCTCAACAATCAACATAAAGAAATGACACCGCCAAAGTATTGGCTTGGTTCACCTTCAGATACCCTCGAATCAATAGCTCTAAAACAACACGATTATAAAATTGGAGGCTCGTTCAATCTGAACTGGGTTCTCGGTCCTCCCGTGGGAAATAAACAAGAGTAAACGGAACCAGCGGAGTGGTGCTGTGAAAGTTGCCGATAAAAAAACGATTTAATTTCTGCCCAGTACAGGCTGGCTGACATATTATAGAAAATAGTTCCAGCGTGAAATTATGTGAGTGAGTGAGTGAGTAAATGAGTGAGTGAGTGAGTGAGTGAGTAAGGGTCACACCCACTCACTCACTGGGTGTAGAAATACAGTTTATATGATAGCGACGGCTGCTGCTGCTGCTGCTGCTGCTTCTGCTGTTCCTCCAGACAGTCAACACAAAGAAAGAATCTGTTTTAGTAGAGGTTTTACGGCGCTCGCAACTGCATAAGGTCATATGAGCGCCAGAAGATTAGAGGTGTTGCAAGAGAGTAACAAACATAACAAAGAAGGAGGGGAGATAAGGACGATAGATGTTTGATAGGAAAGAAGAAGCAAACCACACCAGAGCACCCGCCAACCACCCACAGAGAAGGAATACCGGTGGTGTCGTCTGTGGTGTAGCAGTTAGGCGGTTCGCCGTTTTACACAGGAGACCCGAGTTCAACTTCCGTATGGAATGAACATTTTTATCGAGTTTCTACTCGGTCTTTCAGCTGTGATGTTGTATCCCTCTCAGCTCGGGTTGTTGTGACAGACAGGATCGGGTGCCCGCTTCATAAATGATATAAATGTGTTGATGGTGTCGTAAAAAAGTTTTAGTTTTAGTAAGGTTTTACGGCGCTCGTAACTGTATTAGATCATACGAGCACTAGTAAAAACATTTAAAAAAGCAAAAATCAAAATAAAACAAAAGACCAAATAGCAAAAACAGAACAAAAAAACAAAACAAAAAACAATAAACCCTTTTATCTTATGCCCACCTTAAACATCTGTCCTGTAATGTCTGAGGTGGGCGGCATTGAGAAGATGAGCCTGGCATTCCGGCCCGAGTCCTTGTCTGTACCCTCCAGAGTACCCACGAGCATCATCTTCCCGCCCTCCTCTGGCACACGCAGCTCCGTAGTGGTCAGCTCAGGGTAGTTGTCGTTGATGTCCTGGAAAGGGGGATGGAGATAACCATACATAGATAGAGAGAGAGAGAAAGAGAAAACGAGAGAGAAAAAGAGAGAGAGAGAGAGAGAGAGAGAGAGAGAACGAGAGAGAGAGACAGAGAGAGAAAGAGAGAGAGAGGAAGATACAGAGACAGAGAGGGAAAGAAAGAGGGAGAGAGAGAGAGGGAGAGAGAGAGAAAGAAAGAGAGAGAAAGAGAGAGAAAGAGAGAGA